TCCTGGGATCAGTCACTCACCCCTGCCACCACTTCCCAGGTTCTGAGGTGTCCGGTCTTTCTGTTCTACCTGGAGGAGAGACTAGGAGAAATCTAGGGACAGGTGGGTGGCTCCTCCAGAGATCTTAGGGTACAGGATATTTGCTTCCTTGATGGGGACTGGTAGAGACAGAGTCAAAGAAATGCAGGCGTGGTGTGTGGAAGGCATCCTCCATCATTTAATCTAAAGCAGTGGCCTGGCTTCAGCCTAGCTCAACCTTCCCCAGAGTTTTCCTGACATGTGGTCTTGTGTTTGTCCTTTATGTGCTTTAGGCAAAGCACACAGAGCTCTGCCGATTTACCTAAGCTCGCACAGAGCGAGGTCGCTGAGGGACATTTGGGGGTTCCAGCTCCCCTCCACCCACTGCTGCCACCTCAGAGAGTCCTTCAGTCCAACCAGAACCAAGCTGCTTGTTCTGGTGCAGCTTCCCATCACCCCAAGTCCTGCCGGAGTCGAACTCCCCCTAGTAACCTATCCCAGGCAAGCTGGGTGATCGCGTGGCTCCTAAACAGCAGAAGCGGGCCTTGCAGAGCACCCCAAGGGGTCTTCAGAGACCCCACACTCACACAGTGCTAAGTTTTAGGAAGCCCAGGGCTGTTGTTCCCAGCTGGGGAGTGGGAACCACGAGCCCCTTTCTGTATCACAGTCTCCCTGGCTTGTTTGGCTGAGTCTCTGCTGTGTGTGGTGGAGGACACCTCATTCCTCTCCTTGCTTCCTCTTGCACTTGATCCTAGCACGGGAGGCCAGGTGTGAGAAGCCTGGAGCCCCTGGAACCAGGAGAGGGGTCCTTTGTGGCTGGATTCCATGTGGTGTTAGGAAGGGTGCTGCCCTAGGGAGGGCATGTAGGGAAGACCATGGGCTCAGGGCTCAGCCTGGGCTAGGCTGTCGCCCTGAGCTGTCACTTGCTAGCTGGCTGAAGCCAGGCCTGCCGTAGTCCTGCGAGCTGGGTGCTTTCGTTTCCCTTCCCAGCTACCTGGCAACTAAGGAAATCTAAACCTCGGGTGGACCAAAGCTTAAAAACAGCTTTCCCAGAGATTTAAAATTTAATTCAAAAATAAGGAAATGAAATTATATGCGAAGATCAATTCCATTTGTCTTCTGCTCAAGGCCGGGCAACAGAGGCTGCTGCGGGCGTGTGAAGTGCGGTTCTCGCAGGAATCAGCAGCCCAGGGGAGCAGTGGGCGGCCACAGCGACAGCACCTGGATCAGAGGTGGCTTCTCTGTAAGGACTGGCAGGCGCGCTTTCCTTCCCTCGAAAATAGGGGGCTGAGGCCAAAGGATGAGAAGGATTCTGGGTAGGCAGGCTGCCCAGAACGTGCACTGTGCTTGACCTCAGCCACGTATTTACTGCATGCAGACCACGCGTCAGGCTCTCTTTCTGCAACATAGCAATGAGTGAAGGGACACAGGTACTGTCTCTGAGGGACTCCCTTCCGTGCGTGCGTGTGTGTGTGTGTGTGTGTGTGTGTGTGTGTGTGTGTGTGTGAGAGAGAGAGAGAGAGAGAGAGAGAGAGAGAGAGAGAGAGAGAGAGAGATTCCGGAGAAATAAAATCGAACATAAAAACAAGGCTGTGACCAGAATTCATGTCTAGCAGGGGCTCAGAAAGTTATGGAAATAACACTTTTATTCCCAGTACATAATGATTATGTTCATCCGGGGAATTGGTGTGGTGGGAAGAGAGGTGAGCGAAGGCCTGGTGAGAAGAGCAGGCTGTGCTGTAGGCGGTCGCATGTGCAGGTTGTGGGCACAGCGGGCCCAGGGACTGTTGCCTTCCTGTAGAACTGAAGGAAGGGCCCAGAGACAAGAAGACATGGCCTTGAGGCAGCGGGATTCTGCGCAACAGTTTCTTCTTGGGTAGGAAAGACCTCAGGGGAGGCAGCGTGCCTTTGAGTGCACTGGCTTGGGCCAAGTTCCTGGGCAGTCGTTTTCCTATTTAGTGGTTGTCCTGCGCTGCCTTTTCCTCTCCCCTTTGTCACGTGTGCCCTACATGGCACCTGCTAATGTGACTCTGTGATGCCAATAATGGGCCTGGGATTCTGGAAACTTTTTTTTCTTCTTCTTCTGTATTTTAGGGAAGGGTCTACAGGGTGTTCAGGGTCTCACTACTAGATCAGAATCCTAGTGATTCTTCTGTTTACAGCCTCCCAAGTGCTGGGATTACAAGTGCTGGCCAAACTGTCTCAAGGCTTCTGTCTCCTTGTCTCTGGGCCCTTCCTTCAGTTCTGCATGCAAGGCAACAGTCCCAGGGCCCACTCTACCTCTCTCAGCACACCCCGGGGTGCAGGGCCAGCACGGCAGGTCTGGGGATAGAGTACTGGGCCCCTGTGCCTGCTTGCAGGTGCTTTAATCCGCTGAGCTATTTGGCCAGCCTGGGCCTGGAAATCTGAAGGGGAACCCAGCAGGCTTCGGACAGCAGGGAAATGAACCCCACAGCTGGGACCCAGAGCCAAGGTTACCGGGTGTCATCTGGCAGAGTGGACTAGGGCAGGCATAGGTGTGGTGTCTGGGGAGAGCTTGGCCTTTGTGTTGTACCTGGCCCTGGGACTTTGATCTTGCCTGCCACACCCAAGTTCTTTCATCTTGTGCAAGTGGTCGCTGTCTCCAAGCCTCAGTTTTCCCACTGTCTGAAAAGCAGGACAGGCAGCTCATCTACCAAGGAGGGATTGCTGGATGAACTTGCTCTGCTTCCTTCTCCTGGGCTGCAGAGGGGCTCATTTTCTGACCCACATGGGGCCCCAGGGTGCGAAGAGGTGAAGACAGGAGGGCCTGAACCCATGCACGGTGGCACACCCCCCCAGTGCTGATGCTGGGGAGCTGGGGAGGAAGACACGCTTCCTGCTGCCTGGAACCCGGCGCCATCGTGTGAGGAAGCCCTTGCTGTCTATGGACAGGCCTAGGCAGAGGAACCAAGCCCCTCGGCCTGACAGTCAGCCCACGTGAATCAGCAGCGTGAGAAGCAGGCCTACAGCCCCAGAGGAGACACCATGCTGACCCGGCCTCCTTGAGGAGCCTTCCCGAGATCACAAATCTGTGCGCTAAATAATTGATCCACATTAAGCCGCTAACTTAGGGATGATTGATCGAGTGATGGTAGATAACAGAAAACAATTTCATATCAGTTCTCAAACCTTGAGCAAATCATTAAGAGCCTGATCCTTTGGAGAAAAAACAAATAACGTTTTGCTTACAGTCACAAATTCCTGAACTAGAATCTGCAGCCAGACTCGTCAAGCTGTAAAGCCCTTGCCCTTTCCAGTATGAGCACGCAAGTTCCTCCGGCCTCACCGTCCCATGACTTCCCGGCAACGGAAGCACAGAGAGACACGAAACCAGAGACAATGGGGAAGGCTGCTGCAGGTGTGTGTGGACCAACAACGGCCTTCACTAGAGACAGCCTGCCGATCTGCAGGCTGGGCACAGCTGTTAGACGCAGAGTCAGCAGACTCAGCTTGAATGCGTGCTGAATAATTGCATTGTAAAACCGGAGAGTAACAGAGAGGAACAAAGCAATGAATTCTGCTCTTACTTTTAAGATTAGATGAGAAGACACAGTGTGTCCCCAGCCCTGCAGTGGTTTTGTGACACAGCCCAACACTCTGCCCATTGCACAGTGGGGACCCCAGCTTGGTGACTGCTTCACGACACATAAGAAGGAACCAAACACTGTGATGCCCATTTTAGAGGACCAGACCTTAGGAACCATCCACACACACCTGCAGCAGCCTTCCCTCCTGGCCTCTCGCCTCCTCTCTTTGTTCTCTCAGACCCGCCTCTTGGGAAGGGCAAAAAGCACAGCAGTGCTGCCCTGTTCAGGACCCCTCAAGCTCTGCTGCCCTCTCCCCCCTCGGTCACTGTCCCGCTCTAGTGTCCTCCCAGCCCACTTTTCAGTTTGACAATAGTTGTTCTCCCTCCATACTCTGTCCCTGGAGAGGTCAATGTGTAAAATTCTCCCCCAGTACTTACTGAGCCAAGCATGCTGCTAAATGCTCCACAGCTTTAAATTTCTCACTTCTCTTCGTTAGGTTCTCCTCCATGTGAAGGTGTGATAGCTAACTGCAGGGTCAGCTTGAACAGGAAACGCCTTTGTGATTAGTTTAGCGCGCTCCTGCGTGTGTCCGCATGGCGGATTTACTCAAGAGGGAGGCCCCACTTGGGTGTGGGGGGCACCGACCAATCGGTTCCTAGCCCCGGGGCATAAAAAGGGACAGCCGCACTTGCGCTTCTTTGGAGGAGCCCCGCCTTCACCATGGCCTCTGGCGTCCCTCTCCATGCTTCCTGGGCAGACGCAGCCTTGCAGCGCAGGCCTCGGGCTTCCGGGCAGGGACTCGCGTGGGAATCTGCTGCGAGCTGTTGGCCCTCAGCTTCCAGCGCTGCAGAACGTGGCAGGCTTCCTGCACTCTCGCACCTCCGACCCTGCAGGCAGCCGCTGCAAGGCTGCCTGTAATCCTTACATGTCATAATACACGCTGTTCCTCAAGCGCAGCCTGACCAACAGGCCTCGCGTGCTTTTAGCTTCTGGGATCAACTGTCTCCGCTTTCCACTTCCCAAGCGCACAAGGTCTTCCGCTACACCTGGGAGTCCGCCTCCGCAGCACCCTCTCTGCTCTGTGTTCCGTCTCACTAGGTCATACTTCTTTTTTACATCCAGGTTTAGATAATCTTTTCTCCTGAACAATCTCTCAAGACTGGCTGAGCTTTCACTCTGGCGTCTCCCCTCATGGTCTGTCCTCCCATCTGGTTCATTCTTTCTTTAACTGTCTTCTAAAAAAACTTTTTAACTGTGTCTTTTTTTTTTTTTTTTTGGGTGCCCATTACAGACTTTAAATTCCTTGTGGGTATGACCTTGACTTCACTCTCCTCTTTTGCACCGGAAGGTGTTCTGGTTCAGCGTCCTCTCAGGTCCTCTCTGCCCTTGTGTTATCTCTGAGGCTACGGATGTCCCGAGCTGCTACTCTCATCCATGCAGCCCATTACCCCAAACTGGACCCAGGTGACAGAGTTCATCATGGTGGGCTTTGCCGGGGTGCAAGAAACACACCTCCTTTTCTTCATGCTGTTCCTCACCATGTACCTGTTCACCTTGGCAGAAAACCTAACCATCATCTTAGTGGTGGGCTTGGACCACCGGCTGCGGAGACCCATGTATTTCTTCCTGACACACCTGTCCTGCCTTGAAATCTGGTACACCTCAGTCACGGTGCCCAGGATGCTGGCTGGCTTGGTTGGGGCGGAGGGAGGCAAGAACATCTCCTACGCCGGCTGCCTGTCCCAGCTCTTCATCTTCACTTTCCTTGGGGCTGCTGAGTGCTTCCTCCTGGCTGCCATGGCCTATGACCGCTACGTGGCCATTTGTCTGCCCCTCCGCTATGCGTCCCTGGTGTCCTGGGGCACCTGCTTCCGCCTGGCCGCCGCTTGTTGGCTGGCAGGCTTCCTCACGCCCATCCTGCCAATATACCTCATGTCTCAGCTGACCTTTTGTGGCCCCAATAGCATTGACCACTTCTTCTGTGATGCCTCCCCCCTGCTAGCCCTGTCCTGCTCCGATGTCACCCTGAAGGAGACCGTGGACTTCCTGGTGTCTCTGGCTGTGCTCCTGGTCTCCTCCACAGTTATCGCCGTGTCCTATGGCAACATCGTCTGGACCCTGCTACGCATTCCGTCGGCGGCCAAGCGCTGGAAGGCCTTCTCCACCTGCGCAGCTCACCTGACTGTCGTGAGCCTCTTCTACGGCACGCTTTTCTTTATGTACGTCAGGACCAAGGTGGCCTCCTCCATCAACTTCAACAAGGTGGTGTCTGTCTTCTACTCTGTTGTCACGCCAATGCTCAACCCCCTCATCTACACTCTTCGGAACAAGGAGGTCAAGGAGGGCCTGTGCCGTGCCTTTTCCCTCCGGTTTTGGAGACGCTGATGAGGAGGCAGATCGGGGTGACTTGGATATTTACCAGGATGGTGGCGAGGGCTGTGCAGAGAGTGGGTACTTAGCTTACCACAGGAGAGACTTCACTGCAAGGAGGCTTACCGACTGGAGCATACTTTCTCTTTCATGCAAGAGTCTAAGAGGAGTAGTCCAGACTAATGCATAGTTCAGCCCCACTGGTCTCCAAGGATTCCAGCTCCTTCAATCTCCCAGGGCCAGCACGCCCTAGGATGTGGGCAAAGTCAAGTCTGCAGGCCAAATCTGGCTTAGCCGTGGCTTTGTAATGGTCTGTGAGCTAAGAATGTGTCTCACACTTCTAAATGATTAAAGGAACTGCAAAGGAGAATATTTCGTGATATGAAAGTTTCATAAAATTCAAATTTCAGTGTCTCTAAATCAGGTTGTATCACCTCCACTTCCTGCCCTGAAGACATCTAAGGCTGCCCTTGTATAGCAGTGGTCGCGGTGACTGCCTGCCAGCCCCTCACCTGGAGCAGCCTCCCGGGCTCTTACGGGATCACACTGGGCAAGAGGAGCAAGGCTGGAGCCTGGAGCAGAAGCGCCTGCCTGTCAGGGCTTCTCTAGACGTAGCACTGACCACTGAACTCACCTTTGTATGAGAAGCGAGGTGGGTATCCCATCGCACTGAGGGATGGCAAAATATTCTGCCATTGGGCAATCACTCAGCCACTATTCAGCTCTGGTAGAGAAAGAGAGAGAGGAGAACAAACTGGGTAGACAGCGGACAGTTCCTACCACAGACAGAACCCTCGGAGCCAGGGCCGGCTTTCTGTGGGTCAGAGGCACTTAATCTTTGCTATGTACACTTTCTGTCGTTGGGAATGGAAGGGTCTTCCCTGTCTACCAGATGACACTTGGAAATTGGGCGAAGGAGAGCTCTGTGGCTATGTCAGCTCTCTCAAAGTCATTTTAAAAAGACAAATGCAATGCAAATGATCCCTTCCACATAGACAGCGGCATTCCAAAAGACATTCATAATCATCACTGGAACGTGGATTCCCCACATGACAGTAAAGAAGAGAGGAAGCTGCTGAGCTTGCATCTGGGTGGAGGGGAGGGACTTTCTGGGGTCGCGTTTCTTGGCTGTTCACTGACCTGCACACTACATTGCGCCGTCTTCAGCACAGCTTTGCCCAATAACATCTGAGCACTTACATTTTCTGTAGTTAACGGAGAGGACACAAGCCAAGCATTTAAAACCTCTCAGGTTTAAATAGAACAATTCCTCAGAAGGAAGGAGGACCACGTACTTTCAGGTACCTGACCCGAGTAGGTGTGAACACAAAATTAATTAGACTCGGTTATCAGTTGATGAAAACAATGCAGAACATGTTGGGTTATAATTGGGAATGTTTATAGCAACAGAAACATTTAAACTTTAAACACAGGAGCTCTGGATTTTAAGGATTACTCTAAGATCGGCTCTATGGGAAGCACCAGTAAGGGTTACCCTTTGCTAACCCTAATTACATAATATGGTAAAAACTCTGAAACACAGGTTTAGAAAAAGGATTTGATACATGTAAAAGTGTATTTTGCTCTAATGAAACCAGGCACAAGGAACGAATCTGGAAAAAAGCCATTTTTGTGAGTGTGAATATTTACATTACAAAACTAAAATGATTGCTCTTTAAAAAAAACATACCCAGTTACCAGAATCTGGGTTGCAAACCACTGTGGAGGTGCAGACAGCTAGCGGTTTTGGAGCCACTATCAAGGACAAGTCAGTCTGCAGCAAAGATTGCAATGGTTGACACACTGAGTCAACTTGGGAAGGTTACCCTTTAACTCAGTGGGCGGCCGGGGTCCTCACTTCGTACATATCCTGAGCTTGTGGGGGAGGGGGCATGAGAAGCTGTAGGCCGATAGATAGCCTGCTCACAGTGCAAGGGAGGAAAGGTGGCGCGCTCTCCCGCACCCTTCTGCACTGGCTGCTTTTGCTGTCTTCTGCCACCTGGAATGCTTGCCCCTGCCTTGGAGCATCTGGTTATGGGCGGAACTACCTGTGAGCTAAATAAACCTTTCCTTTCTTAATTTTGGTTGTTGGTCTTTTGTCCTAGCAACAAGAGAAAAGTAACAAAGACAAAGATATATTATGAAATCGTGTCGGAGAAAATGCATATTTTTGTAAATTCTGAAAATGTGGTTGCTTTTGGGATATGACTATTCACTGTGGAAAGCACAGGCCCTGAGGAGCTGAGGACACAGAGCACGTCCCAGGAAGCAATTCTGAATGAACATTCAAAGATGTGGGGTGCACAGCAAAGGGCGCTGCTTCTCTGGTTTCCCCACGCTGGGCTAGAACACTGACTTATTCTCTAGGGCTTGGCAAGAGGGCTTGATTTGCACCCTGAACTCAGAACCCGGCAGTGTGCGGTTAGCAAGCAGACCCAAGGCTTAGACAAACGTCTGCTCTTCGTGACGCCTGTCTGAACCGTCTTGTCTGCATCCGTGTTGGTGCTAAGGTTTTTCCTTTGGCACAGATAAGAGGTGAGCTGGAGTGCAAAGAAGCCTTTATTGCGGGCGTGGAGGACTACAAGGGAACACAAGAACATGCTGAGGAGGAGGCAGGGCACCCGGGTATTCATTAAGTTGGGCTGGAGTTTACATGGGCGGGGTGAGGTGACGTTTCAGGAGCTGGTTGGGGAATTGGTGGCGCGCGCAGAAAGGAAACAGGAAAGTAAGGCGAGCCACCTGATCTCAGCTGCTCAAAATCCTTCAGCTGCCTAGAGCAGGTACAGGTTGTCCACTTAAGAAAAGATTTCTTGATAGACGTGTTTAGGCTGCTGCAGTCAGATTAGGCTGGAAATGTTGGATCGCAGGCTTCCTTAGACTCTCTGAAAGTCCTTCCCTGGGACCTTGGTTGGGGCCAGGGTCTTGTAGAAGTTTCAGTACTTCCTCAATGAATCAACAGACCTAACTTTGTCACTGTGTATGATTTTATTGGATTACTGAACAGCTTCTTGCTTAGTGCTTGCTATGTGTCGCATACTACTCCACGTGTTTAATGTTAATGCACTGAATTCCTCATTTACAGTCCCATGAGATCGTTGCTGGTATTCACCTCTTTTACAGCCCAAGGAAGAGAGTTACAGAGAAGCTGCAGAAATGTCCCGGCCACACGGCGCAGTAAGTGTTAGTACTAGGGCCGCAGCCAGCTCACCTGCTGGGCCGACTCTGTGTGACGAGGCCCAGGCACGCAGGCCTCCTCCCTGTCACTTCTTGCCCCTGTCTGTGACTGCTCATCCAGCCTGGAGGGCTTCACTTACCTTCATCCTAAGCATGTGACCTATGCTGCCTGGTGTCACATGCTTTTCCATTTCATTGTCACTACAACCCTGAAAGAAAGATGTAGGCTTAGCTTACATGGAAGGAAAGTCAGGCTGAGAGAGGTTTAACAACACGTGCAAGTTCTGACAACCAAAATGACAACAGTGGGAGGGGGCCGGGTCTGGGTGACAACCACTCTGCCCTCTCGCCTCCTCTGAGAGATCTCCTTCAATGCTAAGTTTGCCTAAGTGGATTCATTCATCCATCCAACATATATTTTCTTTTCTTTCTTTTTTTTTTTTTTTTTTTTTGCGGAACTGGGGATTGAACTCATCAACATATATTTACTGCCTCCTATGTACCAGGCCCTGTCTGGGTATACACACCATTGGATGGACAGCATGCAGGAGTTTCCAACAATGACAGCCTTATTAGCAAATGGGCCTCTCCCATCCCTGAGACTGAAATACAAAGTGATGGCAGCTTGGTGACAGCAGGGATGCGGGTGGGGTGATGGGCGCAGAGCAAGCAGCATCTCTCGGTGCTGATTTCGGGGAGGGCACACAGGAATCGGCCCTCCCCGCGCTCCACTTGGGCTGCTCACCTGCAGCTGCATCTGCCGAGCACCCGTCCTCTGCTGGTCTTTACAGGGCGGAGAAGGATGATGTAGCATGTGGGGAAGAAGAAGCAGCACAGCAGGCCCGCGGCTGAGGCCAGGATGGTGAAGACCTCTCGGCCACCATGTCTGCCTCAGGCATGCATGTGGGCAGGGGCGAAGGACACCCAGACGCAGGCACAGACCAGCAGGCTGATGGAGATGTGCTTGGCCTCGTTGAAGTGTCGGGTAGCCAGCAGGGAAGGAAGGCCACCGGCAGGCTGACCAGGCCCAGCAAGCCCAGGTAGCCCAGCATGGCATAGAACAGCTCCATGGAGCCTCCGTCACACTGGACAGTGAAGCTGGCCCCTGGCTCTGTGGAGTTCATGGGCCAAGGGGGCCATCGGGCCACCCAGAATGTGCATAATGTGGCCTGGACCAGGGAACAGATGCTTGGGATGGTGGCGGGGAGCTGGGGCCCCACCCACCTCCTGGCGTGGGCATCTGACTGTGTGGCATGGAAGGTGGCCAACGCCCCCAGGGTCTTGGCCAGCACAGTGGACACGCAGACCATGAAGGTGACCGTGAAGGCTGCCTGGTGCACAGTGCAGGTGAGGGAACCCGGGCGGCCAATGAACAGGAAGGGACAGAGGAAGCAGAGTGCCAGGGAGGCCCCAGGAGGTAGCTGAGCCTGCGGTTGTTGGCATGGACCATGGGGGTGTGGTGGTGCCCGATGAAGACACCTAAGATGGCCAGGGCCAGGAGGAAGAGCAGGGCTGTGCAGATGGCCAGCGCTGGGCCCAGTGGTTCAGGGTAGGACAGGAAGTCAGGGGTCTTGGGGACACACTGGCTCTTCCCCACATTGGGCCACTGGTCCCTGGGACACTTCTGACATGTGGCACTTTCTGAGGAGAAAGAGAAACTGGGTCAGAGAGCAACATGGGGAGCCCTGGGCACTTCCCACAAAGGAGCAGTTCTCCCCTTTGTGGCGGGCTCCCCAGGAGTCTCCGTGTGCTTCAGTCTTACAGCCATAAGCCTCTGCACAGCCTGGGGTCCCTAGATCCAGGGACCAAGACACAGGAGGCAGGAATCCCGGGCACAGCTT